AGGTTGCTTAAGATATGATATTTAAGGTAGTCATATTATTACTGGTTATTTTTTCACATTCAATTTTGTTAGCGGTTATATAGATATTTTTTGCATAACTATACCGATAATAATAATTAAATATCAATATCTATTATTTACGTGTGTCTACATCCGCGATTTTTCTTTGACGTCGACATCCCAGAGCAAAATCCATTTTCTGTGAAAGACAGTGCCGGACAGAGGTGGACTGCTTATAGATCAGTACAGATCAGAGAAATAGTGGGAAGATCAAACGGTAAACAATGCGATTGGAGCAGGGATAGGTGGAGGTGAAACAAAGACGGACGGTGGAATAGGCTGAGAGACGAATGGAATTCAAAGAAATGCGAAAGAGAGGCTGTAAAAAGTGACCTCTGGCGGCAGGGCATGATATGAAGGTAGACAACTTTTATTCTTCTGAATCTCAGATTTTTTTTTAACATTAGGAGACATTTTAGGCTATATCATTTTGTACGCAAATTGCGTTACACAGAAAAAAGATAAAAATATATGTTAATAATCTATGTAAGGAGAAAAAAAAACCGAATTGCTTTATTATTTGAATTCTAACAAAAATGTTACTTATTTGTAAAAGACAATATCAGAACGGGATTAAGAAAATGCCAAAAAAAAAAAAAACGTGTCTCCATTTTTTTTTTTTTATCAAAGTTATATTTGCCAATTTGGAGTTCAAATCTGTGTGATAACAAAAGAAATAATTCGCGTATAATAAAAAAAAAAAAAACTTTTACTAATACTACTAGTGAATAGTTCGGTTTAGTTTGGTTTGTTTTACGCCATATCAACCTCAATGATAAAATTTTTATTGCTGGTAATTTTTTCATTCAGAAAGTATTTCTGGCAATATTTAAAAAAATGTATTGCTGGTAATAATTTATTCTTCCAAAATTTATTAATGGTTATAATTTTTATTCAAAAATGTACTGATATTATTAAAATCCTATTTTTACACTTTCATAGTATTTTAACCCCAGCTTTTGGGTTAACTATTTGCCCATAGCTGGGACCCTAACAGGTGCTACCACCCCAGGTCAGGGTGGAAATGGAAACACCAACAATTAAGAGGTGGTCCAACGATTCTCAAAACCTCTTCTTCAGACCCAGGACCATGACGTAGTTTATCGCAGGTCAGGGTGGACATGGAAACACCAACAATTAAGAGGTGGTCCAACGATTCTCAAAACCTCTTCTTCAGACCCAGGACCATGACGTAGTTTATCGCCTTACTCAGGACGTGGATATTAGTTTATCGTCATACTAAGAACGTGCTAGTGTATGTAAACCTAAACAGCTAAAATTAAGATGAAAGAAATCCTCGTCAAAAATTCATTATACTTGACAATTCTTCATCTAATATTAAAAATTTAATAAAATATCCTTCTTTAGTTCCTGAGTGATCATGGCTCTCCACAGCTTCTTTTGTAGCGCTTAACAATATTAGCCTTTTTCATATACCACCCAACCCCTGTTCTGTCATCATTTTACCCCAGCGTCGTTATGTTTGCCACTCTTTCACTCATCTCTTCTTGCTTTCCATATTTCCTATGATGTCAAATTCTCCAAGCCTTCTTTCCTCATTATGAGCCCAAGTATTCCATTTGTCTTTTTTCCGATTCAAGCGTCCATTTTGGTGAAAATTTCCTCCAGACTCAATCTGGATATTCTCTGTAGAACCACATTTCCGTTGCTTCAAGTCACGTTCTTCATCTGTGAGAAGATTTTCCAGCATTCACTGCTACATTTGAGGACTGATATAACGTAACAGGTCAGTACCCAAGTTTTTCTTTTGTTTCTAACGAAATCCTCCTGTTATTAAAGCTTTGCTTAACTTCTGCAAAGCTAAAAGTATCAGGTGTTTAAAACAGAAAATGCTTTTAACAACAAAATATAAAAATTCCGAAACATATTTTGCGGCGTTATTCTCACCGTCATTTTCTAGACTGACAAACATTGCAAATCTCTCGCTTCCCGATGTTAAGTATAAGTTTCTTTTTTGTTTTCCAAAAACTTCATCATTCGCTCACATATTCGGTCCATAGTATCTTCAGCATGCTTTTGTTGAACCCTATATCTGTGGCATCATGTCCCTTATTGATGTCTGGGGATATTATCCATCATTCAATATAAGAGGACTTAAATTTCAGTTCAACATTCATTTCTTTCCTTATTATGTGTCCAAGTATTCCATTTTTTTCTGATTCTAAGTATAACCGTCCATTTTGGTGAAATATTCCTCGTGACTCAAATTTCCCCTCAATGATATTCTCAGAATCTTTCTGTAGAACCACATTTCTGTTGCGTCAAGGCTTTTTTCTTCATCTGTGAGGAGATTGTCCAGCATTCACTGCTACATAGGAGGATCGATAACACAGTTCTGTGATCTTTTCTTTGTTTCTAACAAAATCTTTCTCTTTGAATAATTTGATTATCATTTGGAAGGCATCTTTTGCCATTCCAAAGTCTTCGAATTTCAGTGGTTCATTTCTAACAAAATCCTTCTCTTTCAATACTTTGTTTATCATTTGGAAGGCATCGTTCGCCATTCAAAAGAGTCTTCAAATTTCAGTGGTTCATTTTCCGTCCTCTGCAAAAAGGTTTTCCAGATATTTAAATTCTTGTACTTGTTTGATTTACACATTTCAAATTTGTCATTTTCATTCTGCCTTCTTCCAATTTATTCTTCGTAATTTCTTCTCGCTTTCTTTCCCTACATTCTGAAAGAGTTCGTTTGGTTTCTTTTGTTTGACGTTATCTCAACTTCAATGGTTGATTTAATCTCGACAAAAGATTATTGCTGATAATATTTTCCCCAAACATATATTGCTTGGAATATATTTTTAAAAAAATGTATTGCTAGTGTTAAATTACACATTCATAGTGTTTTGACCTCAGTTTGGGGGTTAACTATTTGCCCCTACCTGGGACATTAACAGATGCTACCAACTTAGGGCACTGTGCACCTGGTAACACCAGCAATTAAGAGGTGGTTCCACGCTCCTCAAAACCTCCTGACCAAAGTCCTTGCTGTCGGACGTAGTTTATCGTCTTACCCAGGACTCAAATGTAGTTTATCGTCATACCCAGCGGACCGGATGTAATTTATCGTCTTACACAGGACGTGGACGGTTTTTTGGGTTAACTATTTGAACATAGCTGGGACCCTAACAGGTGCTACCAATCCGGGTCAAGGTGGACCTCGGAACACGAGCCATTAACAGCTGGTTCCACGTTCCTCAAAACATCCTGATCAATGACTTTGCTGTTGGACCTAGTTTATCGTCTGATGCAGGACGCCGGATATAATTTATCGTCTTACCCAAAACGCGGAAGGGTTTGTGGGATAACTATTTGCCCATAGCTGTGACACTATGGTGCTGCCACCCCGGGCCATCGTGAACCTGGGAACACCAGCAATTAAGAGCTGGTTCCATGCTCTTAAATACCTCCTGATCAATGGCCTATGTTGGACGTAGTTTATCGACATACACAGGACGCGGATGTAGTTTATCGTCTTACCCAGGACGCGGATGTACTTTATCGGGTTACCAAGGAAACGGGTGTAGTTTATCGTTTTACTCAGTTTTGTCTTTTGATTTCCTTGTCTACTATCAACGCAGTGTCATCTGTACATTTTATGTTGGTAAGATTGTGACCGCCAATAATGAATCCTGTTAGTACTTCTTATACCTATCAATAGCGTCGCTGTATAGTGATTTACTAAGCGGAGTTTAGATGTGGCAGAAAGCCGACCCTTTGGAGCATCGAGTGTAACTGATCTAGCGAGTCAAACTTGCTAATCCTTACACCACGTCGAAGTGTCCTCACCTCGCTGTATATTTCACTTTATTTTCTGAGAAATTGCCCTTTTTTCCTAAAAACCACCTCTTAGCTTACATGCTCTCTCTGTGGTGTTCTCAGCATCCTTCTGGAGAACTACATCTCTGTTTCCTCAAGCCTCCTCTTCATGTGTGAGAAAATTGTCCTGCATTGGCTAATACATGTACACACATTTTTGATACTTCTTTTCCAACCCGTTATTGTTAATATCATAGCCCTGAGAAGACTCGTTGATACAAGCTCAATTGATCGGAAGTTCAAAATACTTCTTTGTATATATGCTGATTTTAACATTATTAGATTGACAAGAGTCCTTAACATATCGACCGTTGACCGGACGCTCAAATCTTCTCCACTGATACGTGCTTTTGTTAACAATATAACCTTAAGATATGTCATTAACATATCAGACATTGTTCGGTCGGCCAAATCTTTTCTTCGTATAGAATATGAGGAAGAATCTATAGCGAAGAAAACGGCGACTTATCTCGTCTACCCAAGCGAGAGTGCGTCGCGTGTATCTTACGATGGAAAATGTGGCGAAAAAGAAAATTACTTAAAAAAAAAAAAAAAAAAAAAAAGAAAAAAAGCCCCGTATTCCGCATCACATGCTGAAGACGGAATATTTAAATTAAAAATAAACCAACCCGTCGCAGGAGTCTCTATAAAAGTATTTTGTTATACAAAATACTTGGTGTCCTCTTCCAGTTGTCGACGAATGAAAAAACTGTTCGGCCGATAAAAGCAGTTGGTGTTCTCGAATCGAGAGGAAAATTGATATATTTCGGCTACCGCGTTCGTCGGAGAGTGAGTTATTTTTCTGACTGGTTACGTGCATTGGGATTTGTGTGATAGTACCTGCGTATCGAGTTTTCAGCATTTCTTTCTGCCCCCGATATTCGACTCTGAACTTACAGTGATTTGTTCTCTGCGTTGTGGAATTAATCTGCGACAAATATTTCCTTTGTAATCCCCGATCGCTTACAAAATCGTTAACATATCCAACATGATTTTTCAGTAACGCCCAGGATATGATCACACACACACACACACACACACACACACACACACACACACACACACACACACACACACACACACACACAGGATTACGTCTACCTGACATTGAAACACAGTTTCCCGTACGATCATCGAAGTTAAGCAACATCGACCCTGTTCTGTACCTACATGGGTGACCTCTTGGGAATACTGGGTACTATAAGTGTGAAGGTACGTATGGTGTAGGCCATAACGGTTTCGAATTGGAAGTCAGAGAGCCGGGTTACAATTCCACTGGTGTTTGTTATAGTCACTTACGAGCAAATAGCCTTGGGAAAAGTAAGAATTTATCTCTTCTCCCCCAGCTATGGGTTAATTAGTAAGACGCATCATTAAATCCATTATTATCTAAAAAAAATGCGTACAAATTATTATACAAACAAGACATAGAGATATATATATAGACAGCTAAATAAGAACAACCAATCAAACAACGCACGCATAGAGGATTTCCCAGAGAAAGTATACACACTTTTACAGTGTATAGCCCAAGTCGACATGTTTTCTTTTCAAATTTACACGTTAGTATTACTAATGTCATGCAGGCTTAGATTTAAACAAAGAAAGTTCATCCTGAAATGCTACTGGAAGTACGAAAATGAAATTGAAGTTCAAAGGCGGTACGGAAGAGTGTTTCATTCAGATTCATCTACGCGGTTTACAATCTCACGAATTAGACATAAGTTTGAAGCTGAGGGTACTGTAAACCATTTCCCCTCAAAGTGGCGTTCTGGGGATTGTTGCCGGTACGCGAAACATCAGGTACCGGTAAGCGGCCAGTGTCCATTTGGAGCTTATTTTTATTACTTTTTATATAGAATTTGAATAAATTTGAAACATTAAGAAACATGCCTGAAAATAATAGAAATTCGGGCAAAACAGTGTTTAAAAAATGTATACACATTTTTACAGTATATAGCTCAAGTCAACTTGATTTCTTTTCAAATTTACACGTTAGTATTACTAATGTCATCCAGGCTTAGATTTAAACAAAGAAAGTTCGCCCTCAAATGCTACTACAAGTACGAAAATGAAGCTGAATTTCAAAGCAGTACTGAAGAGAGTTTTTTTTTTTTTTTTTTTTAAGCATTTCACCCCAAGCAATATGGGGAAGCCACTAGGACGCAAGGGGTTACAGAAAATAGCAAGATCAGATAGGAGTGATAGAAGAAAGGATGAGGGTAGTAGATAGATTAAGGCAACTGAGATGTCGATTGACATTACACTTGAATAGCTGGAGATTATAGCTCACAGGAAACAGGAGAAGGGAAGAGAGTTCCACAGGCGAGAGGTGCGAGACATGAAGCTATTAGAGTAGAAGAGACGGCTACATTTAGGAGTTTCGACAGTGAAGGGGTGAGAGCGGGATGCCAGCCTCGTAGGGCGCTGGAACTCATGACGTCTGGGAACCAGCGAATGCAGCTCCTCGGAACAATTCCCATGAAAGTATTTGTAGAACAGACAGAGGGAGGCGACGGCGCGTCTGTGAGAAAGTGACTGTAGACGAGACGCCAGGGCAGGGCCAACCATATTGCATATCCGCTTCTGGAGCCTATCAAGAACCCCGAGGCAAATAGAAAGGGCGCCAGACCATATGTGGCAAATCCAGCCACGCGGTTTACAATCTCGCAAATTTGAGATAAGTTTAAGATTTAGGGTACTGTAAACCAGTGCTACTCAAAGTGGTGTTCCGCGGACCGGTGCCGGTATGCGAAACATCAGCTACCGGTACGCGGACAGTGTCCAGGCCGTCATTTGAAGCTTATTTTTATTACATTTTATATAGAATTTGAATAATTTGAAACATTAAGAAACATGCCTGAAACTAACAGAAATACGTAAAAAATACAGTGTCTAAAAAATGTATATAGACTGTGGTTGAAGGCAATGGTGATTCTATTGAATACATTTTCTCTTTAGTATTTCAAGATATTTTTGTGTAGTTTTGGTATATATGTCTTTTTACATGAGATATCAGTGTCATTTCCATTTCTGCGTCATTAAGACGACAATTTACCCATCGCAACTTGTATCTATATATTATGGCAATCTATGACAAAGAGGAAATGTTCTCAGGTGACACATTTTCACCCTTTAAGATTCATTGAACATAAGTGATTTTGCGCTGATACGGCTACGGAAGAACGTGAAGGAAAAGGGCCGCGGAGAATTTAAAATTTAAATTTAGTCCCCTCCTTCGCGGGCATCTCTAGTCGCATTAACGTAAACATCACTTTTGCCGATGAACTTCTGAAAGAGACTGCGGCCACTTGGATGTTGACGGCAGTGTTCACTTGACTGGGAATCAAGAAGCCGGAGAAATAGTTCAACAAGTGAGAAGAAACCGTTAGTACAGAACTTATGGTTACATCTAGCCATTTCAACTGTAAAATAATGAGACCTGACCGCCAATCTAGTACTGCACTTAAATTCATAAAGTCTAGCTATTATAGAGGAAAGTAATATTTATTTTTAAAGATAAAATAATATGGCTCAAGGCATGGTGGGATAAGTAGCTTTGTCTTATAATTGAACCTAGCTATCAACAATTTCTGACCAAAACATACGACAGTATTCTTTTGACCAAAATATCTCATCCTTACCATTCCTACTAATCCGCCATAATACCTGAAAGTCTCTATGATGTCTTAACTTTTGTCCTCTTATGTAAAACTTGTCTGGGATCAGGGATAAAAATAACAACTTTTAAAAAATGAAACCCCAATGAATACTACAATGAATACAATTTATATACAAAAGGAAAATTCCTCAGAACAATTAACATGAAATAATTTGCAGAAGAGGCATATTAATGCTAGCTACAGTGGTGGGAAAGTGATTGAAACCGATATGGCAGGTCAGGATCAATTGGATTGCAAATTTTTCTTTGTATTTTATCAAGAATATATTTAGATACAAGAGCATTAGAGCAGACGTTGAAGCAATATTCAATGAATAGTCGCCCATATATGTAATATAGATTTTGTCGGGAAAAATTGTCTAGCACGACAGAATAAAGCAACTTTTTTAGCCGCAAACTTAACAGCTGACTTCATATATTCTTTCCACTTCACATCAACAGAAAACTTTAGCATGGCGTGGAAGAAATATATTTATTAATATTTTATTAATTATTAATAATTAATTAATTACATTAATATTAATAATTAATATAACTAGTTTTAACACGTGTAATTTCACGGGTTTCCTATTTTGACGAATCTTAATTCATAAGTTAATGATTGAAGAAACTCATGTTGAGTTCTACGATAATAAAATATCTATTGATATTCCCTTATCCGTAGAAATTCCATTATCCGTAGAAATTACCTTATACGTAGAAATTCCCTAATACAATAAAATATCCGTAGAATTTTGCCTATTATAGAAATTCGCTTATCCGTAGAAATTCCCTTATCCGTAGAAATTCCCTTATCCGCAGAAATTCCCATACGACAATAAAATATCCGTAGAAATTCGCTTATTATAGAAATCCCCATATTCGTAGGTATTACATTATCCGCAGAAATTCCCCTAGGACAATAAAATATCCGTAGAAATTCGCCTATTATAGAAATTCCCTTATTGGTAGAAATTCCCTCATCCGTAAAAATTCCCCTACAACAATAAAATATCCGTAGAAATTCGTCTGTTATAGAAATTCGCTAATTCGTAGATATTCCCTTATCCTCAAAAATTCCCCTACGAGAATAAAATATCCGTAGAAATTCGCCTATTATAGAAATTCCCTTATCCGTAGAAATTCCCTTATCCGCAGAAATTCCCCTAAGACAATAAAATATCCGTAGAAATTCCCTTATAAAAGCGAGAAGTACGATAGTAGAAACTTTTAGCATAGAACTTACGGTTCTATCTATCCATTTCAACTGTAAAATAATAAGATCTTGACACCAATCTAGTACTGTACTTAACTTCATAAAGTCTAAGTTCCTTAGAAGAAAGTTCGTCAGAAAAACACAGGGAAACGACATTATAGCGTTGATGTCAAATCAGGACCAATAAAATTGCAGATTCTTCTTTGGATATTATCAAGAATCTCTAAATACATAAGACGCGCACAGAGACCAGATGTGGCAAGAATATTCAAAGAATGGACGAATGGTAGATCTAAGAATGAGCAAAATACATTCTGGCAAGAAAAATACTAAGCACGACACAATGAAGCAACTTTCTTACCTGCAAACTTAGCAATTGATTCAATAAATATAATAGTGTGTGTGTGTGGGGGGGTTGTGTTTTGCTAAATCGATCATTGTATATGAATTTGCAATTGTATAAGCTTCTATATGAACGTATTCACGTTTTCTAGTTTTTTTTCTACTTTCCTTCCTGTTCAGCTAAGACGCAGCTGCCGACTGTCTCCACGCTGCGGGTGGCTTTTATCTACGACAAATCGTCCTCTGTCTTTCGTACAGTTACTTGGAACACATTCGACGAAGAACTTTCACGTTAATTTTATTCAGAAACCCAAGCTTTCGTGTATATATATATATATATATATATATATATATATATATATATATTATAAAATGGACAAAGTCAGACAATAATTTTAAGACATTTTTATGTTTATACATTATTTTTATAGATACAAATGTCTTAAAATAATTGTCAGACTTTGTCCATTTCATAATTGTGACGTCTTTGTTTACATTTGATACGCCATGAGCAGATATGAGATTCCTGGATGAATGATGTCTAAAGGCAGTAACTCCTTTGTGACCGAACCGGTTAGCGGGCACGTTAGTCTATGTGACGGTTCCGTATAGGATACCGGTTCGAGTCCTGTCGGGGGACGAATATTTTCTCTGAAAATTTCTCGGACATTCAGGCCGGTAAATGTTGTTTAATACTGTTTATTATAAACAGAGCATTTACTTAAATATTTGTATCTATAAAAAGAATTTATAAACATAAAATGTCTTAAAATAATTGTCGGACTTTGTCCTTTTCATAATATATATATAGATATAAAATTTATTTAGACTCCCCATTTTTCTATTTACCTCCTTTCCGCCGGTAAAATTCTTTTTATTTCCCTTTATTCTTTTAACAGGGCCGGTCTAGTTTAAAAATTTCCATGTGTTGTATATTTACGATAATTTATTAATATATCTGGCATCACAGTGTCGTTGAAT